ATAATTCCATTCTTTTCATCTGCTTTTAATACATCTTTATGTGTAATTTGTGATATTATATAATAAATACTTAAAATAATAAATACTATTATTCCACATCCTATTCCTAAATATCCTATTTTAATTGCAAGTTCATCTAAATTTTCTTGTAATGGTGTTGGTGTATTTTTATTTTGATTAATTGATTCCATTGTTTTTCCCCATAATGAATTTGGTCCTACTGCAACAACAAGCATTTTTCCATTTCCATCTGTAACTTTTGTTCCTGACATCATAATAAAATTTTCTTCTGTTTTTTTAATTGCAATTGATTCTCCTGTCATATTAGCTTGATCAATTCTAAGATCATTCCCATGAATATAAATTCCATCAGCTGGAATAATATCTCCAACATCTAAATTAACTATATCTCCAACAGTTAAATTAAATATTGATATTTTTTGATTTTTTCCATTTCTAATAACTTTAATTCCAACATCTTTTTCTTCTTTTGAAAGAGCTAAAAATTTTTTTTGTTTAGAATAATCTGATACTGATCCTCCAAGTGAAACTCCAAGAACTGCAAGTAAAATAGCTATTCCTTCTATCCAATCTGTATTAATTTCTTTATTTTCTTCTTTTTCTTTACTTAAACATTTATTAACTGAATTAGGTACAACAAATGCTAATATTAATGATATAATTGCTGCAATAATAAGAATAATAAGTGTTTTATCTTGAAGTGCTTCAAACCAAATTTTCCAAAATGGAATAATAATAGGGTCTGGTGTTCTATTTTTTCCAAATTGTTCTTGTCTTTTATTATATGATTCATCACAAATTCCTTTATCTAATTCAACTTTAAGAATTTTACTAATTCCAATAATTCCTCCATATTTATCATAAATTTCTTTATTATTAGTACTAATCATTTTAGCTAATTCACATCCTTGAATTTCATAATAAGGTGTTCCTTCTGGTTGTCCTGTATATTCTTTCTTTTGTTCTTCTTGTTTTGATATTTTTCCTCCCATTTATTATTTACAATTATTATTATTTTTTTTTTTAAAAAAACTTCTTATATTTATTTCTCTTTTTTTTTCTTGTTTTCTTTAAAATATTCTTTCTTAAAACTTAATAAATTTAAAAATCATTCATTTTTTAGAGAGACAAATCATCATTTTCAATTTCTTCTTCACTCATTTCATTTCCATCTTCATTAGTTGATGATGGATTATATAAATTATCATCCATATCAATTGAATTATCAAAATCTTCAAGATTTTCTTTTTTTTCTTCTTGTTCTTCATCAGAAGATTCATTATAAGTACCACCTCTTTGATCTTGTTTTAATTGTTGTTTTTTATCAATTTGAGATAAAAGTAAATTCATTCTTCCATATAATCTTAATAAATGTTTATATGAAAGTGTTCTACTTTCAACAATTACATATAATTTTCCAATACTTTTTGAAACATCTTTAATACTCATTAAATATGCTAAATCTTGTTCAAATATTGATTTTAACCATAATGTCATTATAAATGCTTTTGTTGGTTTATTATTAAATATATCACATACTATATTTAATAATTCTACAATATATTTACTTGGTAAATTATTTATTGTTTTTTTAATTACATTTTCTTCATCTATAGATAAACATCTTTCAATTAATATTTTATTATTACTTTCAAGTGCTCTAATTAATGTTATAACAATACTTCTTTACTTATTA